TGTAAGCTGCCACCGCAAGGGTGACGGTTCAAAGCCACCAGCCACTCTGCAGGAGAACGGTGTGGGCCTTTGCTCCCGTAAAGATGACTGCTCCAGAGCCCCATGGGCAGTTCTACTCAGTCCTGTCGGGTCGCAGTCAGTCAGAATCAGCCCAGAGTTGCCAAGGGCTGGGTGGGTATGGACATGGCACCCTTCCTTCCCTCTCTCTTTCCGCCCCCACCCTTATCTCCAAGCCCCCAGGACTGCTGATGGGCGAGTTGTCAGAGATGCACAGCAGGGCGCCGGCAGCTTCATCCCCGGTTTTGATGTTGATGCTTGGGGGAGAGCGCCTCCGTGGGTGGAGACAGTATCGGCTCATCAAACCGTTCACCTCAGACCCCGTGTGAGGCTTTGAGCAGCCAGGAGATGCTGTGGCCCACGTGCACATGGGCTCGGCTGAGATCCAGGCTTCCCAAGGCGTTCAGTGCCTGGTTCTGAACACTGTTGGGATTGAGCGAGAGCGTCCACATCTCAGCGTTAGCCTGCCTGCCTGCCTGAGTCCGTCAGCACTCTCTTCTGACTTCTGACCTCAACCAGGGTTCCCCCGGAGAAAGGGGGCTCCAGAGCGAGTTGGCTCGCTTTCCCAGGAAGCACTGCCAGCGGGTTCATTTGGAACGCCATTCAAGGCTGGTATTAGAATTCAGGAGGGGACGGTGTTCAGGGTAGATCCTCTCTCCATGTGCCTGGGCCACTGGCACTGTGTCTGGAGGGCTCTGCTCCTCTGATCTGTTTCCTAAGCACGTCTGTCCCTTCTCCTCCAAAGAGCAGGATCGGAAAGCCACCCCTTTTATAAAGGACATACCTCTCACCCCTCGGTCCATCACTGTTGACAAAATGATGTCAGTTCTTAAAGCTCCAAGTTGATTCCAACACATAACAGCCCGCAGGACGGGAGGACTGCTCCTTGCAGTTCCCAGGAGTGGAGGTCATTGCAGGCTCCACCTACTTCCTCTTTCCCCACTGAGAGGCGGGGCCTGAGCCCCGCCCTTGCTGGTAGCAGGCGAATGTTTAACCCCCAGCACCACCAATGCCCCTTCCCAAGATTGCTGAGGGTCTTCATTTAAACACGCACTGTGGTTGACTTAACAGCGAGATAGTTGGGAATGGGCGGGCACTCCATAGAATTCCATGGTAGTGCTTTTAACCACTAAATGCACAGGGTAGCGGAAAATCCCTGGTCGACTTTTAGCAGTGACTTTAAAACTGCTGTTTGGTTCTGTCTACTTGCTGAACCCATAATCCAGCCTGTGTTGGCAGATGTGTGTGTTTGGTGAAATGCCCAGAGAGAGAGAGAGGAGTGTGTGTGTGTGTGTGTGTGTGTGTGTGTGTTTATACTCGTGTGTGTGCACTGAGGAGTCACGAGAGAGAGAGGAGTGTGTGTTTATACTCGTGTGTGTACACTGAGGAGTCACCTCACCCCGCAGTTCATCTTGTTCTAATAGAGAGAGCGTGTGTGTGTGTGTGTGTGTGTGTGTGTGTGTGTGTGTGTGTGTATACTCGTGTGTGTGCACTGAGGAGTCACCTCACCCCGGAGTTCATCATGTTCTAATGACCTGGATGTTTCCCGAGAATGAGATTCTCAGCACCTCTAGCCCCAGCTGAAGCCCAGTGTGCGTTCTGGTAAAAGGGCTGTGATGGAAAGGGACGCGGGTATTGTGGCTGTCGGTCAGTGTGTCTCAGGGGCAGACCCGTCCCCTGCTCTGACAGGCGATGGACAGGGAGTGCTGCTGTGCCAGGGACGGAGCCTGCTCGGTGTCCTTGGGCTTGTGTCACAGCCGGAGTTGTCATTTCGTAGCGTGCGGCCACTGCCCACCTTTAGCAGTATGTCCAGAGCACTTTTCTAGAATGTTCATCAGATGGCCCCCGAGATGCCACTAGGTCTTTATTCCCTGGCACAGCTATTGTGGCATTTAGCAGCTAGCGTGGCGGCACCCACCTCCACCTGCAGGCCTGATGTCGAGGGTGAGCGCCCAGTGCGTGGCAGAGTGGAAGTCTCTGGTCCGCTCCTTTTCCGGGGGCTACGCATCTTTCGGTAGGTTTTGCACTGAGAATGTTCAGTTAAACGATCGTCTTCGCACAGTGAGTGAGGACAGTGGTGCTGGCCGGGGGAGGTCACAGCTGAAAGTTGAATGGAGCCCAGAGGGCCAATTCACTTGACCGGCTGCATAGTGGGTGTCACGTGCCGGCTCTCTTTTCTGGCCTGAGGATCTGTGGCCTTCGTATACACGTAGTGTCCCTGCGGGCGAGACTCTAGTCTGGTGGAAGGATGGCTGTCTTTATCCCAAAGGGAAATGCTCTCCGTCCATTCCCCTTAGTCTCCTTCCAGTCTCCAACAAAGGTTGACGAGGTCAGACCCTGTCCCGCTCAGCAGCTCACACACTGCCCCAAGCCAGGTATGCACAGAAGATGGTGCCCATTGGAGGGGCCGGTGGGTGCACGCCCATCTAGAGGAAGCAGCGCTGGTGCCCAGGACACAGGCAGAAAGCAGGTGGCATCTGCTCCAGATGGGGGGACAAGGCGGAAGCTGGCCGTGGGGCCGCCCATCACTGGAGGAAGCTGGCCTGTGGACAGCACAGCCTGTTCCCAAGTCATGGCCACTCTCTGCCTGATGTGTCTGGTGAGGAAGCATGAGCAGCCTAACTGTGCCTAAACCGCGGCGTGCCCATCCCAGCACCCCACACGCTGACACCAAGACCCTCACCGTCCGGCCAGGAGCTTACTCGGGAGTCCTTGGGTGACCTGAGCACCTTCTGTCCGTGAGCTCTGGTGGGGGCCGGGGGGGGGGTGACAGGGCCACCGCCCCCGATGCTCAGCTTCCCCAGAACATTCTTCCCAAGCACCACTGAGCGTTGGGTCTGTCCGATACTGTCTGGAATGGCTTGTTTTAAATAACCCCTAAACCTTTGAAGCCTTAATTAGTCTCCAGAACTCCAGGCTCACTGCCGTCGAGTCACTGTGGCCTCATCGTGAGCTTTTTCAGCAGGCCAGAATTTTTTTTTTTTTTTATATAATTTCTTTTTTTTGTTTGTTTGTTTTTGTTTGTTTTTTTTTAACATTTTATTAGGGGCTCATACAACTGTTATCCCAATCCATACACACATCAATTGTGTAAAGCGCATTTGTACATCGTTTCTCAAAACATTTTCTCTCCATTTAAACCCCCGACATTAGGTCCTCATTTTTCCCCTCCCTCCCCGCTCCCCCCTCCCGCATGAGCCCTTGATAGTTTATAAATGGGTATTTTGTCATATCTTGCCCTGTCCGACTTCTCCCTTCATCCACTTTTCGGTTGTCCATCCCCCAGGGAGGAGGCCACACACAGTTCCATGCAATCGGTTCCCTCTTTCCTACCCACTCTCCCTCCACCCTCCCTGTTTTGCCACTCACACCACTGGTCCTATAGGGCTCATCCATCCTGGATTCCCTGTATTTTCAGTTCCTATCTGTACCAGTATACCTCCTCTAGTCTAGCCAGTCTTGCAAGATAGAATTCGAGTCATGGTAGTGGGAGCGGGGAGGAAACCTTTAGGAACTAGAGGAAGGTTGTATTTCTCATCATTGTTACATCGCACCCTGACTGGCTCATCTCCTCCCCGAGACCCCTCTGCCAGGGGATCTCCAGTGGCCTACTAATGGGCTTGGGATCTCCACTCCACACTCCCCCCATCATTCACTATGGTAAGATTTTTTGTTCTGATGATGCCTTACACCTGATCCCTTCGACACCTCGTGGTTGCATAGGCTGGTGTGCTTCCTCCATGTGGGCTTTGTTGCTTCTGAGCTTGATGGCCGCTTGATTCAGGCCAGAATTTTAAGTCCACCGAAGCAGCTGCCCCAAAGGACAGTAGATTGCTTGCTTTTGTTGTTGTTTATGTTGACCATTCACGTGTAAAAGAATCTTGCGTTTTTGTGGGGGTGGGGGTGAACAGTGCATCAAGAGCCATGGGTAATTGTTTAACCACGGGCAGGCGGGAGGGTCAGACTCATCATCAGTGTATAACCCAAAACAAGCCTACTGCTATCAGACCACCGCCAGCGTTGAACCCTTTCAATCCCCAGTGAAACCACTGGCCAAGACTTCTCATGCTATTTACATAAGAAAGGGGGGCCTTAGAATGTGCGTTGGGGGTTTGGGCTCCCTGTCACCCCTTTTCTTTCTGCTTTTGCCATTTTCCCAACAATTACGACCCCTGGCAGCCTCAGTCTCTCCCCACTGCCCAGCCTCCTTCCCGGACGTTAGAGAAAGCAAGCGGCTCGAGAATTGCAGTTTCCCCCGTGTGACAGCAAGGGCACGAGTGTAACCGCTTGGCACCGGGATGCCCCAGAGTGGGGCAGAGGCAGGCGGCTCTCATAGCTCGTTAGGAACATGTGCCCCAGAATTCAACCCCGTTGGACTCCTGGCACAGAAAAGGCCCTCTGCATTTCCAGGGGGGATGCTAATGCTTACCTCATAGAGTCCAGGGAAGCTTGAGAACTGCTTTGTCTCACAGTTCATCCTGCAAAAAGGAAAAAATTCCAGTCCAAGGCAAGTTTTGTGAAGTAGCATCCCCGCTCTGCCCAGGTGTCTCATCTTGGGTTTCTGGCTTTTTGACCAAAGGATATTGTGAGATGTTCAAAGAGTCAGCTCCTACTCGATCCTAGAGAACGAACCCCACCCCTTTCGTAAGTCCTGTTCTCTCACCGCCCCAGATCGGCAGTAACACAGGACACCGGGCACGATGGAGCCGGTGACTGGTTGGTGGAAGGTAGGGTAGCTGGGCGTTTCAATACTGAAGGAGCTACCTAGCAATATAGCTCAGCCTCTTTCTCTCTCCAGGAAGTCCGTCTCTTCTTCCCAACAAACCTGCCAAGTAGAAGCCCCGCCCCTTGCACCAGGGAATGTTCTAGAATGCCGGCCGCGGACGCTGCTGTTCTTCTCCTGTGCATGCAGTCGACATGTGCTGTCCCTTCTCTCCCTGCAGGCAGGGCAGCTTTCCCGGCATGAATCAGGGTGGACTGATGGCCTCCAGCGCACCCTACAGCCAGCCAATGAACAACAGCTCAGGCCTGATGAGCACGCAGGTCCCGCCCTACAGCATGACGCCCAACATGGTCAACAGCTCCACAGGTAACCCTGGCCTCCTGAGGCCACCCCTGTCCACCCGTTCTCCTGCAGCCCCCCCCCCCCCAAGACAGCCCGAGGGGAGAAGGCGATATTCCTGCATCCTGGGGCCGGCACGTGGGGGTGGTGGTGTTGTAAGACCCGAGCATCACAGTCCACCTACCGTCACACACCGTACTCCTGTGTTTGTGGGCTACCTGTCACTGGAGGTCACACATGAGAGAGACCCGCTTCTGGGGCATTGTTAGGAATATTGGAAGGAGGTCTCAAGTCGAAAATCTGCCCTTGTCCGTTTCTGCTGTGGTAGGGATAACCATTTAAAGAGGAGATGATGGAAGGCAAAACCTTCTCCAGAGGCAAAACCAGAAAACAGAGTGAGAGGAGAGGAGAGATTTGCTTCCAGAAAATGACTCCATCATCACGGAGGCTGGCAGGTCCCAAATCCAGGGACCAGGCAACAAGCAGGAGGCTTCTCCTGACTCACTGTGATTGCAGGGTCTGATGAACCCCAAATCTTGCAGTCTGACAGCAGGCTGCTGGCTCCTGTGCCAAGAAGCAGAGGTCAGAGGAAGGGCAAGGCAAATGCAGGATCAAGAGAGCAGTCACAAACTTGGTCAGAACATCAGTAAGTGTTGGATACAGGCCGCACCTGCAAGGAATCTTCTCTTCCCACTGGTTGGCTGCTCACATCGGATCACAACATGGAAGATGATTCCATGAGGTCTGCCAATGACAGAGACTCCTGGCCTGGCCCAGTTGACACATGACATGAAGCTACATCCCCGGGGGTGGGGGGTGGTGGTGGTATGAAGTCCTTTGATGCATTTCAGGAATTTAAATATATATATATATACATTCATGGAAGTAGTTACTTCCTAAGTACAATCTGCTAAGTATCTGTAGATTGCCTCCATTGAAAATTTATATGGCGTTTTTCTTTCCATGAACTGTTTTAAGATTTTCATCACGTTAATGCTCTTGATCCACTTTATCACCTCAGAATACTTCCTGCAAAGCCATCTCTGACGAGTGCGGTTGGAGTAGTCTGTCAAGTTTCTGGGAACTGTCAGGGGGTTCTGGGTTCTGCGCTGGGCTGCTCACCGCACGGTCAGCAGTTCGAACCACCAGCCATTCCTCGGGGAGAGAGAAGGATTCTGCTCCCATAAAAAGTTAAACGTCTCAGAACGCCCCCGGGGCAGTTCTGCTCCATCCACAGGGTGGCTGTGAGTCCACATCGACCCGATGGCAGTGCGCTTTTTCTTGACCGAGAACGTCGGGAGTTATGGAGTTGAACACAGCACCCTGGCCTCTGAGGCGTGAGCATTGCTTGCCAGGAGGGACTGCGGCAGATCCCGTCACCCGTTGCTTTATACCAGACAGGAAGGTATAGGTACGCTCCCGGGTGTGGCTTTTCTCCGGTAGTCAGCACCGAGCTTTGCTGAGCCAGCTGGGTCCCCACTGTGCTTCACGGCGCCCTAGGAAATCATCGCCCCGCTAGAGGTCGGGGGTTTTTCCTGTTGCGTTTCCCATTTCCTCCCCTGCTGCTGCTGCTGCTCCTCTGGCTTCTTCACCGCCGAGGGAGGGGTGCCCCAGCTCTCCCCCTCCCTCGTCAGGCCGAGGATGAGACGGTGGGCCAGGCTTTGGACTGGTTCTCCCAGGTTCAGACATGGCCGACAAACCAAACCAGAGCAGACCCAGGTTTTTAAGGTACGGTGTCCCGTAATGATAGCAAGTATGGGGGGCAGATGCCCTTTTGGAAACGTAATCTCCCTTTTGGCAAACAAGGGCCTGATGTACAGCAACCAAACCTCTTGATCCCGGGCCCAAAGATGGCAGCAGCACTGGGCTTTAGATGTGCGTCTAGCTCCGTCGTTCCGGCCGTCAGCGGGGTCACGCGCCAGGCCCCTGCAGGAGCTCACTCTGCCTCGTTGGGGCTCCCGTTCCAGGGCGAGAAGCTGTCCTTTTTCCTGTTCTGGGCCTCAGTCCAGTACCCTCACGTTCCCCAAAGTGGGGTCTGTTTTCCTTTTGCTGCATCAACTGTGGCTGAACTCGGTCCAGCCCACCCTACGCCCTGGCTTGCGCTCATCTGACCAAACTCCCAAGTCTAACAGAGGCATTCTCCGAGTGCTGCCCTGTAGAGGTTTCTGGGGGGAAGAAAAATAAACATCTCGTGCGAGGGAAGGTTAAGTCAGGGTCCTCACACTTTTTAAACAGGGGGCCAGTTTTCACTGTCCCTCAGACCCGTTGGAGGGCCGGACTATAGTTTTTTTTAAAAAAAACTATGAACAAATTCCTTTGCACACTGCACATATCTTATTTTGAAGTAAAAAAAACAAAATGGGGCAAAAACACCTGGCGGGCCGGATAAATGTCCTCAGCGGGCTGCAGACCGTAGTTTGAGGACCCTTGGTTTAAGTAAATCAAAGCGCCCTGCCTGTTATCAGGCAGGCAGGCAGTCACCCCCTGAGCTGGGGGGTTGGCATTTGAGATGCCAAGTGGAAGCACTTCAAGGACCCGTCAGCTAGGAGCTTCCGCTCCGCCTCACCTCGCTGCCCCAGGCAGTACCATGTTTGGGTTGACGTCGCATGTTCCTTCTGGCCTGCTGTAATGGAATTCCTTTGGAGCATTGAAACTGCGCGGTACGTGTCACCCCGCCAGCAGTGCTCTTTCGTCTCCTTTGGCATTGGACCCCAGAGCTGCAGACAGAACCTAGCACCCGCCGACAACGGGCCGTGCCTGCCTGGGGAGGTGCGTGCCTTCCAAAGGACTCAGTGGTCTCGCAGACCAGGGTCCTTCTTGTACTGTCAGGAGAAGTCATAGGCAGCCCAGCTCTCCGTGGCTGCGTACGAGGGAATCCACTTGGCCAAAGATCACTTACCCTCCAGGGCTTTTGTATGGGTTGGTTGGTTGGTTGGTTGGTTGGTTGGTTGGTTGGTTTATTTTAATCGCATTGTGTGTTTTGAAATAGGAGGTTGTCCTCATCTGGGAATGTATCAGATTCTCCTTTACCCACGTACACGATGTGATTCCAGTGCGATTAAGATAGCGCTGCCTGATAGAAGGCAGTCATCCAGAGCAGGCGTAAACGACCAACCGGCCCATTGCTCCAAGTGGGCCCGTCCTGCCGCAGCTGTGGCGGCCGTCTCCGGGGCAACAGGGATGGCTGAGGAGCCCGGGACCTGGCAGTGTAGCTCCTGGCGAGGGAGTTGGTCCAGAGACATTCCAGGGATGGGCCAGAAAAGCCTCACATCCGACCCCACGGTCCTCATGGTCTTGGCCCTGCGATCAATGCACAGGGACAGCAGCAGGGCAGGCGCCATCATCATCCCCCGGGAGGGAAATGAAGGTCATACGAAGGCTAGCGGGCAG